TTCAACCTTGTGCTTATTACTGTATAGGCCTGCGGAGACAGCAGGGAACAGTGCAGGTTTCAAAGCTTTGGAGCTCAGAGGCCCAGGCTCATGTCATCCATGCTTCTCTCCAGGCTCTGAGCTTGTTGCCCTGCTGTGAGCACTGCCTGAACTCACTCAAGTGGTGTGCTTAGGTGCTTAGGTACAAATTCACTGGAGTCCTAGCACCAGGTCACAAAAACAGTGACTTCTATTTAATTTGTATGGTCACTAAGTCTGACCTAGAATAGCATCACCAACAGATAATTGTTACTGAGTATACAATATCCAACCTGAATCTCGGCAGATTAACTCATTAGACCCTAGAGGAAAGGTGATATTATTATTTTCATTTTTATCCCTATGAAAAACAAGAGACAGAAACTTAAGTAACTTGCCTAAGGTCACAGCACTGCTAAGGAAGAGAGGCAAGATTTCAGGCTGCCCGATCTTAGAGTTCATGCTCTTAATCACTATGCAATACTACACATACGCCTCTCTCTCTCTCTCTCTCTCTCTCTCTCTCTCTCTCTCTCTCTCTCTCTCTCTCTCCATCTCTCTCTCTGTGTCTTTCTCTCTCTGTCTCCCTTCTATCTGTCTTACTCCCCCACCCCAAAATGAGATTTCCAGTGACTATCAATTCAACACTCTACTAAAAATTTATTGTATAGACCTACATGTACTTAGAAGAATGTTCACAGCATTAGTGGTTATAATCACAAAGTAATTGGTAATCAGAAAAAGATAGGTTAGTATATCTGTACATTTCAATATTATGCAGCTCTTAAAAAGTAGCACATAGAGGTTATAGGTATAATATTACATATCAAGTATGTCTATGTCTAAACTCCCCCTTGGAAGAAGTCATTAAGATAATGGTGATAGAATTCTATTAACATTATTCTAACATACAAGCATACTCAACAAACTTCTATAAAACAAGAAGCAGATGAAATATTACTAATTAATAAAAAATTAATTAGGAGGATGGCATGCTGAACAGAACCCCATAAAAGCTCTTGACTTGGGCATCAGCAATAAATCTTCAGAGTAGGTCTGAAAGTAGTAGTAATAGAAGATCTGGTTATGGAAGTCCAAATTTCCTAGACTCTTGTCTACCTATGACAGTTACAAACTGTCCACAAAACAATTTTCAAAGTTGGTCTTATCTGAAACTATTTAATGAGATGTCTAGTGAACTAGTGAGGGTCGCTGGAGTGGACATGGGGTTTCAGAATAAAGACCCTTGAAGACTTGGTTTATCCCAATTGATGATGGCCCTGATGTAACAGGTAGCTCTCCACCTGTTGCCTTAAGTGAACCTGTCAGTTGACAGCTCCCACCAACATTCGCAGAACTCCCACCCAATCTTCAAGCTCTTTGCCTATTTAAACGTATAAATAGATCGGAAGTGATCACGAGATATTTGCCAAGAACTACAGCATAAATGACAACCAAAGTAAACAAAAGAAAAGATGCTAGCCAAGAAACAGAGAATGAAAGACGGGAAGCCAGAAAGTCTGTCGTCCAGGGTAGGAGAGAATCTACAAAGTGGCTGATTCTGAGTGAGCGTGTGAGGGTTGAAGGCATCGTGGCACCGTGACACCGGGAAGGCTCTTGTGGAGTGCCACATGACAGGGATCTTGGGGAACTTTGAAACACCAGTGCACTCTGCTCTAAAAACTGTTTGCACAGCTATTGTAATATAAATTTATTTGTATTTTTTCAAATTTTAAAATGAAGATACAGACCAGCAGTTGCATGTTGATGACTCTCAAGAGTCAAGGCCTCCGGGTAGCTTTTATCTTGCAAATGACATTTTAAGAAACTATTTCACAGCTGTTGTACAATAGCAGCCAATACTCTCCAGATCTTTCACTGAGTGGGTTTACAAATTTATGTCAACAGGACCTTGAAGGCATGAGAGATTGTTGCATAGTGTTATGGCTTGTATCCGGATCTTCCACTCCCATGCCAAAGCCTCATGCTGTCATAGGCAGCTGGATCTAGGGAGTGTAAATGTGGATTAACGGTGTGTGGTACTAAATTAAGCAACTAATTAGAATTGGCATAGTTCTGGGTGTGACTGTATGGATTTACTGAAGACAGAAGCCCAACCCTGGTGTAGCCGGCACCTCTCCAAAAGGCTTGTAACCTGCACAGGATAAAAGGGAAAGCCAATCTCTTCTTGCTGCTTGCTGTTCTGTGTTTTCTGCTTGTCATGCCGTGTACTATTTCTCCTCTGCCAGTCCCCTCTTGCCATGCCACTCTGCCTTGGAGCCCACTGATTATGGACTGAAATCTCTACCAACTGTGAGATGAAATAAACCTTCTGTTATTGCTTGTGCCAGATGTCCCCCCGCATGCAGTTATAGGTGGGGCAAAAGCTAGAGGTGGCTGGAGCTAGAGTGTGTAATGCTAGGGTCAAAGATGTGAAATTACCAAATTAGTCCATTGATTGTTTTGGCATAGTTCTGAGTACCCCACCCTGCATGTGAGTACAACCTGCCCTAAAAGATAAGACATAAAGGACAGAAAGAGGGTCACTGCTTCTCCCTTGCTGCTTGCTGCCTTCTGCCTTTTTCCTACCACGAACCGTTGCTCCTCTGTGATACTCCTCTGTCATGCCCTCTGCCTTGGAGCTATCTGATCATGGACTGAAACCTATATAAGCTATGAGCCAATTAAACCTTCCTTTAACTTTGTGTACCAGGCATTTTATCTTAGCAACTAAGACCCAAAGGGTGGGTGTTTGCTATTCTGTATACCTAGTGTCCTTTCCTCTTTCTGCTGATTTCCCTTTGTGCAACTCCTTCTGTGCTTTGGC